AGCCTTGCTCTACTATGCCTTTCCACTAGGAACTTCCTGCCTTGCTGATAATGGACTGAACCCTTTGAAACCACAAGCCAAATAAATCCCTCCTTTAAATTGTGAGTGGCAGATATTTTTGCCCATCAGTGAAAAAGCTGGTCAACATATTTGGCAACAATATCAATACTGTGAACTATGCAGTCAGGACCTTGATGGTTTTACCTAAAATTTTCTTAGACATTCTTATTCATATAAAGGTATTTAAGAATATTTGTCACTTCTTTTGATTCCACTAAAGTTCTTGGAGAGGTACTGCATCATTTCCTTGAGTATTTACATTTATAAAACATTAACACAATCCACTCATCCTTGTGTTCTTGGTATCATTAATCTTCTTTGTCATTCTGAATATTTTCAGAATATCCATATTCTGAATATTTTCAGAATATGGTCTTCATTTTTTTTTTTTTTTGCCTATTCATGTCTTACTTTGCAATGTGCTTTATATTTCCTGACACTGGGAAATTTTGCTGTGTTAGGGAAAATGATCCTAGAATAAAACTGTGAGTTCTTACACACAAGGAAAGATGTTTAAACGAAGTTTGCTTTTGTGAAATACTACACAATACAATATGTGTAAGGTGAAAAGTATAAAATAGAAATATGTGGTGATGAAAAAGGACACCTAAGACAAAAGGTTAAGTGAAAAAAATGAGTGGCTGAATAAAGTTAATTATTTTTTCATGTATATAAAACAATATAGGTTTATGCATGTACATATTATATGTATATATTGATATATTTATGTGATATATCATCATATCAATGTAAATTAATATATATCAATATCTTTAAAATTTTTCATCTCATACACAAAATCAATGGTCATTGTCGAGAAAGGGTAGAGGTTTAACAAAGAAGACTTTCAATTTATTTTTGTCTGTTCCATAATATTTAAACCTTTAAATCAATACTTTATGAAGAAAAAAACATTTATTAAAATCTTTAAGATTGCTATGACTTTTGAACCCAAAATCAGTCTCTTTGGAACCTATCCTAAGGAAATAAATATAAGTTTGAAATGACATAGGTCAAAATTACTAATTAAAATGCTACTAATAATAATGAAAGTAGGAAAACTATAAATATTCTACAATAGCCAAATGGTTAATATATAAGAAAAACATATAATGAAGTATCTAGACTTTAAACATGTTCATAAAAATTCCATAACAGGGCCGGGGATATAGCTCAGAGCATAAGTGCTTGCCTGGCAAGTGTGAGGTCATGAGTTTGATTCCAGGTACCAAAAAAAAAAAAAAAAAAAATTCCATAACAATGGGGAAAATGATGACAGTATAACATTAACATTTAAAATAGAAGACATTTTATAAAACTATGACAATAAAGCTAGGTTTAGAAGTAAAATCCCTAGCTAAATGTTCAGAGTTATTCTTGTGTAAGCTAAACCTATGGGTAATCATTCAGCTACCTTTTCTGTTTTGTAAATGTTAGTCCATGTCTACACATTACATGGTTATGAAAAATAAATGTTCATAAAGAGAATTAGCACATAGCTTAGAGCTTAACAAAGGTAAACAGTCTCAGAAGGGACCCAGAATAGCAAAAGCAATCCTGGGTAGCAAAGGCAAAGCAAGAGGCATCACAATCCTAGAATATGAAACTATATTGCAAAGATACTGTGATTAAAAAAAAACAATATGATACTGGTACAATAACAGATATGTAACCCAATGGAATAGAATAAAAGAAGCAGAATCAACCCCAGGCATATTCAAGTATTTGATCTTTAACAAAGGAGCCAAAAACATATGCTGGAGGAAAAAGAATTTATTATTTAATAAATGGTGCTGGAAAACTTAAGTGCCTATGTGCAGAAAATTGAATCTATATCCATATAGCTCATGTGTATTTAATTAAAATCAAAATAGATCAAAGATTTAACTATTAAAACAAAAGAGTTAAATGGCTGGAAGACATATGCAAGGACTTTCTGAAGAGAACCTCAGTGATAAAAGATCTAATATCAAGCAATCAACAAATGGCATATGGGATCATGTCAAGTTAAAAAGCTCCTGAGATCCAATCTTACCCTAGAAAGAATGACCATCATCAAGAAACCAAATAATAACAAATGCTGGTGGGTTGCAAGAAAAAAGGAATTCTTCTGAATGTAAACTGGTACAACCACAATGGAAATCAGTATAGAGATTCCTCCGAAAACTAAAACTAGAAATTTCATGTGACCAAGCTATTCCCCTTCTAAGTATCTTACTAAAAGATTTCAGAACATCATACTACAGTGACATATGCATTCCTATTGTTAGAGCAGCACAGTTGATTATAGCTGAATCTTCGAAATGGCCTATATGTCTATCAACAGATGAATAGATAAAAAATTGTGGTATTTAAACACATTGGAGTATGAATCTGCTCTACAGAAAGATAAATTTAAGTCATTTGTAGCTAAATGGACACACCTGGAGACCATAGTGTTGAGTAAAATAAATCAGACACACAAGTTTAAGTTGCTCATGATTCCTGTTACATAAGAAACCCAAAATATAAATAAAGAACAAAATAAAGGATACAGGATAGGGAGCAGGGAAATGTTTTTCAGAGAGGCAGGAGAACAAAAGAGACAGAGAGAGGTTAGAGGGAGAGGGGGGAAGGAGCATGAAAAAGAATTGAAAGAAATGGAGACAGAGCTTTTATAAATGGGAAGGGAGTCAAGAGATGCGAGGTGGGGTGAAGAAAGAATCAAGATGTGTTATAGCCATGTGTCAGCTCCCTGTGGTAAATGCAATCATTATGAACTGCGAACATGTACTAGTAAAACTAAACATCGAAGAAAAGCAAAGAGTCCCACATTTTCCCATCTAGTTTGAACCTACCTGAATAAAAAACAAAATGTTTTAAAATTATAGATGTCATCAAGTCAAAAATACAGGTTTCCCAATGTATTTGAGAAAAATAATAAACTGAAACACGTATCATTTTCCTAGCCTGGGGATAAAAATTACTCTCATCTGAGTGAGATCACAATACAGTGATCATAATACAATCTCTCTGCTATTGTTCTTCTAGTTTGCAACTAAGTACGACTGACATAGTGTGCATCCTTCTTTATGAATAGATGTTTACTTGCATAAGTCTGGGAAAAAAGTTTTTTAGTATAAATTCAATAATAATAATGTCAATATTAATACTGAATGGTAACACCCCTAGCTTTATTTTTTCTATGTTGTGGATCAAACTCAGAGCCTCACACACGGTAGGCAGATCCTCTACCACTAAGTTGTACCCATGTCCACACCTCTACCTTTTAAATTAGCAGATAGCCAAATTATGTACATTTTCTAGATTATACAGTATAATCTACTAGAAGTGAACAGTGAAATCCAAGATCAAAGATTAGGATTATTTTATAACAGTATTTCAAATATATTTTAATCATAATTTTGAATCATACATGGCAAAGTCCTTTTGAAACTGTTGAAAGTCTTTGTGTTATAATTCTAGGGAAGAGACTGACAATTTTTTTTTTTTTTAAGGAAAGGCCTAGATAGGAAATTTCAAGGGCTTTGTGGGCCATTTAAAAACATAAAATGTTTTTAATCTTAGCTTGTAGTAGAGTTATTCTCTATGACTTACTTGAAGGTCATATCCTTTGTCATACACCATTATCTGAAATATTTTTATTGTGCTGTATCCCACCTTCAAAACTATATCTGACATTTAAAGTTCTTCTCAAACATGTTCTTCATGAAAGCTGGCAAGGTGTCCTTAACCAACTGGAACTTCTCTTCCTTTAGCATTTTGTACCTTCTCTGATTTTATGCGTGGATAGCTACTGATCTCTGCCTAGTTATTGGTATGCCAATCCTTCTTCTTAATATTTTATAGGAAGAACTCTCTCTTATATATTTCTTAGTGATGATGATGTCTCACATACAGTAGGAGGTTAATATCGATGGTTGACTAGAAAGCCAGTCAAATTCCCCATTCTTTGGTGTAGACACCCGTGGTTTAACAGTAACTGTTAAGGGTCTAAAATAAAGAGAGACATTAGAAGGATTCACAGGTTTTTACAACACAGGTGGAGGTTCACAATACAAAAATTCGAGAACATTTTTCTCAGAACTAAGAAGAGTGGCCACTGCATTTGAACTTGGTCCTTTCACTGTGCTTCAAAGTTAGGAGCATCCAGCCGTCATGTGTCAGAGGTCCTGGGCCCTAATAGTATTTATACTCCAGTCTTCCATGTCCAATGGGACCATCCTGGGAAACCCAAGCATCACGAAACAATTCAGTTTCAGAGAAGAACACAAAATGAAATTTGGAATTAAGCAATTTTTACATGTTTATTTAAATTCAAATTTCAATTAGGTGGATACAGTAGGAAATCTTTAGAAACGCTGCAACTAGTCCACCTGAATTCAGATCTTCGGAAGACCTGTCATTATGTACTTGGCAACCTACCTAACTTCTTCAAATCATATTTTTTTTTCATCTGCAGAAAAGAAATGATAACAGTACATACCTCAAAAGGAGACTGGGCTGTTGAAGGAATCAATGAGTTAATATATGTATTTAGCACCATGCCTGGGACATAGTAAGCTGTGGGTATATAAATGCATAAATAGCTAATAACAAACAGCATTGCAGGTATTAACTTCTAAAAAGCCACACATACCCTTGCATTCAGACATGCATTTCATTTTATTTGATTCTTGAGATAGAATTACCACAAGGAGGAATTTACAGAAAATAGGAAACAGAATGTAAGAATTATCAAGTAATTTTTAAAATGCAACAGAAGGAAAACAGCAAGCCGAACATACAGGGATGATTATGTGACAAAGGAAGAAATGGAAAACATCGAGTCCCCCTGGTATCCCCACAGCTGTGCTTCCCGTGCTTTGGCAGTGTGAAATGGCCACAATCAGCTTCCATGCACAGGCACAATGGCAAGTCAACTCAGCAGCTGTACTTACCACCTTCCTCCACCCCAGGGAGACCTGCCTGTTTGTCCTCCACCTTAGCAGTGCTTCCTTCCCAAAGCTGGCTCTTATCCTTTGCCTTTTCCTTCTCAAAAACATGTTTCCTGGACTCCTCAGATGAGTTCTCTGCAGTTTCCTGTGTTCTTCTCTCCATTTCTTCTTCAAGAATGTTCCCTCCGCTTTCCTCTGTGGGCAGAGGTTTGGTCTCCCCCACATCTGCTTTTCTCACTTCTTGGTCTTCCAGTTCAGTCTCAAAAGATTCTTCAAACGGAAGGTGGGATTTTCTTGGCTCGTCGTTTTCGCTGAGCTGCAGAGAAGATGAACTTCTGGCACCTTTGTCCGTGCTGCGATCAGCAAGGGCTTCCCGGTCCCGCTCTGCAGAGTCATCCTCACTGTCGCTAGAATATGGGTGACTTCCGGATGAGACTGATGAAGCACTTCTAGTATCTACAAAAAATAAAATTGATGACATCATTGCTATTCTAAAGTAATTGATTTAATAGGGGAAAATATGCTAGAATGTAATCATATCAAAATTTTAAATAATTTATAGTTTAGGGGGGCTGGGGATTTAGCTCAGCAGCACAGTGCCTGCCTGTCAAGCACGATGTTGTGAGTTCGATTCTTGGTACCAGAAAACAAACAAACAAAAAAAACCATTAGAGGCTGGGGATTTAGCTCAGCGGCACAGCGCTTGCCTGGCAAGTGCAAGGTTGTGAGTTCGATTCCCAGTACCGGAGAAAAAACAAAAACAAAAAAACCCAATAATATATAGTTTAACTAGTTCTGATCCCCTTTTCCAATATAGTCCCCATAATTGTCATGACAAAGAAAAATATACTCTATGAACTATAGAAGTCTTTAATAAGACTTTAACAAGTCTTGGTGGCATTTAAGCCAAGAAAGCCCTATTGTTTTGATTTTCTTTTTAAAAAGAGTTAATTTAATGGAAAACTTTTGTAAATACTTGGTATGATTCAGAAAAATTTACTAAGCAATCCTTTGCTCTTGTATTACAGCAACAGTATGTATTTATGTGTCCTCATGTATAGCATGAAACTTTTTTTATCTGCTGTGATTCCCACCTTATAATGCACTCTGGGATCCAAGTAGAGTAAGACCTACAAATTTACACAGTATAAATGTTTAATAAATATTTTAAGTGATACAAATGTGTGTGTATAGGAGATACTGTTTCACCTTAACTTTCCCAGAAGCAAGGAATGAGAGGAAGCTTCATGTGCAAGTGATACACTGAGGACATGCCTTAGAAAAAACACTTCAGAGAATTGGGAGTCCAGGCAGGGATGGGAAATAGTCAAGCAGCTATCTCAAGCAAGGACTCAACCTCAGTCTCATTCCAAAGGGATCTCTGCTGTGTAGATTATATTAGAAGGATATAAGTAAATTAAAATAGAGTTGGATTTTCATACTTTGTATCAGTAAGATACTGGCTATGGGCCACCCAAAGGACTTGGAAATGAACTTCCTGGCTCTCTGTCCCAGAGGGTGAACTCCAGTAGCCCAACACAGTCTTCTAAAGGGTATAGAAACCAGGAACTGGACATGCAAAGACAGATAAACGGGAGTCATACATTGAGGTAGTGCTAAAGATAAGCAGTCTAGACATTTGCAGTAGTCAAAAGAGGTTCACATGCTACACAAAAACCTTTAAAAAAATCTCCAAGAATGTGCTGTACTCACTGAGCCTCTATGGAAGATCTGCAGCGTAAAAGTCCCTGCACAACATGGCCGGGGAGCGGAAACAGAAACTTGCTTTTGCTTTTGTAAGCAATAGATTTGTGTTTATACCTGTTTCTTATAGAATATATTTTAAGGTAAAATAGCCTATAATTGAATGCTGCCCGCCTCTCTTCTTTTCTCTGTACTCTTTACCACCCATTTTTTTGTTTTTGTTTTTTGTTTTTTGTTTTTTTTTTTTTATTTCTGCATGACAGTCACACAGATGGCTGCAGCATTTAATGCAAAGTTTAAGGAAAGAAATGCCTATCTTTCTCTCTCTCCCTCTCTCTCTCTCTCCCTCTCTCCAGCCCACCAAACCCCAGCTGTCTATGACAGGTCTTAGCAAACAGAGACATACCCATTTTCCCACCAAGATTTGAGAGATACTAAACAGAAGAAAAAAAAAAAAAAGCTACCGAGCGACAGAACCCCTTAAGCACAATCCCCAATACCTTGACAAGCACCAGGCGATCACTGCTTCAAAGAAGCCAAAGAACTCACATACTTTAGCCACTCATTTTTTTATTTTCCATTTTATAAAAGCTAGATAGGCTGTCTCTGCAGGAAACCTGGCAGATGAGGGCGAGGTATTCTCTGACCTACTTGCGTCAGTTCAGAAACTTTAGGGTTCATGGGCTCCCCTTTTCTAAGAACTTTATATTTACATTTTAAATAAAGAAAGACAACCCTTGTTTATTACTGGTTTGATCAATAGCTTTCAGTCATTACACAGCTGACTAGGACACAGTGTTATACTTGCTCTGAGCTGCAGAAATTATATCTACTATCATGAGCTTCTTCAGGACTCCCACTTTTGGCTCTTGAGAGTTATTCACATAATGAAAAATGAGCAGTCCTTTATCTTTCTTTCGAAGCGTCTATTAATTGTATTATTTTATTTCAAAAGGCTGACATGTGCTCTGGTTCCGCTTTGAGTCAGTCCTTCAGCAGAGAGAGATCAGGAGGATGAATGGGCTCGAAGTGGCAGGGGCACCTGACCTCCGCTATCAGCTCATTTCAGTTTTCCAATTTCTCTTTCACCTCCCGGTATAATTTAGTTTCAGTCTCATTTCTTGCTTTCATTTTCATACCGACACTGGGGCAAGATGTTGCTTAAAAAAAAAAAAACTGTTCAAAAGCTTTAGGGCCCTCTATGAAGGGATTTTCAAAATGACTTTTATTTATTCCCTTAGAAATGAAACAAATATTCTATAAAAATGTTCATGTGCATGAACTTTTCTGGCACATATGTAAATTTTTGTCATTCAAGGGGGAAAAACCACCTTGGAGGCTTTTGGTAAACACCGCGGCTTCTTACCCAGTTCCATTTGGCCCTCCAGGGTCCCTCCTGGTACTGATGCTGAAGAAGTTTGCTTCGGTTTTCATTTTTTATTTATTTATTTTTCTTTAGGCAAAATAAGACCTGCACCCAGTGCCTGAGGCCTTGGCCAAAGCCAGCAGGTTTGAAATCACTGTTCCATGTCCAAAGTTGGTGGGGGGGTCTCTAACTTTTCTCTGTCCACATCAGTCGGTCCCCAAATCCTTCCCTTTTCATGTCATTAATAGCTGTGCATTAATGATGATTTGATTTTTGCATAGCAGCACTTAAAATCTTACCTCATACAAACATGAACTTGGCATAAATAATAATATGCTCTTCTGCAATAAAAACCTAGATATTCCCATCATTACCCAACTAGTTAGTAGCTTTGAGATTGTTTATGCTGTTTAAGTTCTGCAAGCCTCTATTTTCTGGGTAAAATGGAGAGGTTAACCTAGTCAATTAAATAACCATTTCTTGATGGCTTGCAGTCTTTTATATTATACCCATTGAATAGTCTCCTGAATTTATTTGCTATTCCATCCAGTATACACTACATTAACAGTGACGTCACAGCTTCATTTAGGAAAACAACACTGTTTGATCACAATCATGCATCTACTGTGTACCAGTGAAGCATTTTACCATATCTCACTAATCCTATGGAATAGTTGTTGCTTCCTTTCTTCAGATTAGGAAAATGAGGTCCAAAGAGATTAAATATACTCAGCATCTATCAGCTCTAACGCAGAAAGTTTAAATTCACTGTCTTGTCACTTAGTATACTTTACTTAACTTTATTTTTTCTTTGTTAGCCAGAAACCTATATAGACATCTTAATGTAACTGCCAAAAGTCAAATAAGTAGAGTTAATTAAGATTGAAATCACTCAGTGATGTATCATGGATCCCCACCAAAATAAGCCCAATAGACTTCTGAACACTTATAATAATCAAACCTCTCTTCTTAGTCTAAATTTTCTGTGCAAAATCGAAATAAGTAATGCTTCTACTTTCTTTAAATTAGCCATGGCACACAAATTTATATGCCTTCCAGTTGTATGTGTATTTCTGCCTTGATTATACTCATAAATTCATAAAATCTGTTTATATTTTATATCAGATACTGGGGTTGAATCAATATCTTCACATACAACAATACTTAATTAGACAAGTGCATTGTACTCAATAAATATTATAGCATGACAGTGTGCTTAATGAAAACAGAAATCACTAAATTCCAGGTGAGAATAGTAACTAGTCATTCGTCAAAGGAGGGAGCATATGTCCTCACACAGATAATTATCACAAATTGAAATGCCTCAATTCATCAATAAGAAAAATATATGCATTACTTTGTATGGGTACATATTCACAGATGAATGCAGCTATAGCAGGAAGAAAAGAAAACATAAAGCAAGTGTAAAGTTTCCTCCCTTGTTACCTTTAATTATACTTTATAAGCACAAAACAGTATTGAGTGTATAATCAAATCATGTATCTGGTGTGCTGCATAAGTCTCCGTACATTTGTTTACTCAGGCATGTGACCCGCATCCTCCATCCACAAGAGCTCCCTGAGTGATTAGGTTGTGCCAGTGATATATACAAAGACAGATTCACAACTGTAGAGGAACAGTTCATATAAAAATATTTTATGTAAACTGAAGGATGGGGCTGCATTTAATAGTCACCTTAAAACTATGATTTCCTACTTTAATAATTAAACATGAGTTCTTACTATTAAGAAGAAATCTAACCATGCAAAAAATCACAGATAAATTTCTGTCCAACAGCAGCCTAAGATCTTCCCATAATCCTCTCTGATCCAAGAAGCAGGCACGGTACACCAAAGTCCACAGGGTGATAGCACACAGCATTTCCACGTGGAAGAGAAAATGTTACTGGATACTTCTCCTCAGACCCACAGTCAGGCAAGATTCTTAATTCAGTCAGTGAGACTCTTGGTGTCTGTAAGTCAAATACTATTTCTGTGATCCTGGGATTTGGAAAGACTATGAGATGTACTTCTAACAGACTGAAAAAGAAAAGCAGCACAAGTGAAGGTGTCTTTTTACTAGAAAAAAATGACTTCAGGTTTTGCTTTTTTAGTATTCTGGAAAAAAGCTGTCTCTGTCTCTCTCTGTCTCTCTGTCTCTCACTCTGTCTCTCTCTCTGTCTCTCCCTCTCTCTCTCAATCCCCTCTCATAAGGAGCTACTGAGTGTTTACCTCTTACTCATAGGCACTATCATTCGCACTGTCCATTAAAGTAAAGCAGTATATTCCCAGTGACATGATACTTTTCCCCTCAATCTTCCACCATTCATCTATGACAATATATTTTGAACTGGTAAATTAGTGTCTGGGGTTGCCAGCACAAATGAAGAGAAAGCAAGCTGCCATTCCTTTTAAGCGATAGGAAGTCTCACACATCATTCCTAAACCAGAGTCCTCCCTCCGACAGCTTCCGGTCCACAGCACTCTATCACTCAGCGGCCGCGCAGCGCAGGGTATTCATCAAGGCGGGCGGCGCGATTGTTAGCTGGCAGTTTAAATGGGGCTGACTTGTCACGAGAGTGACAGTCCGGGCAATTGTTTGCCCTCTGGGAACAGGTGCAGTCAGGTTCAAATGAAACACATCCAAATACTAACAGCGAGATCCTTAATCATGTCAATAAAAAGGATGTACTAGTGTCCGGGATTCAGTGGTCACAATATGCCTCCTACACTTTTGAGGATGAAATGCTGTCTTGCTTTTCAAAAGGCTGGTTCAAGGAATCTGTCACGTCGTTATCATTTTTAATACATGCCACTTATTTGACGGATGAAACCTCTACTTCTGATACTTCGAATGGCAAAAAGTATCTTTTTAAATAACTCCTAAGCAGATTAGCAAAATAAAACGATGAAAACCAGACAGCTTAGAAATGACCATGAAAAAAACTAATAACAACTACTGTAATGAGATTTTATTTCACATTAATAGTAATGTTACAGTTTTTTATTGTCTTTAAAGTAGAATAAAATAATACATTGTTAAAAAATAGTAATGTTATAATGTAAATATGCCGGATGCAAAAGAGCCTCTATAAGGAACGCTTGATAATATTATTAAAACGACAAAGAAAATAGCTGGTCAATTTAATTTCTGATTCTTAAATTTCTCAGTATTTGGGGACTGGTTATGTTTCTCATTAGCTTTCACTGCACACCTATTTAAAGCATTATATGTTCTGTACCTAAATGGTGCTACTAACACTATATAATTTTTTTCAATAAAGATCCCAAAAGTCAAATCACATAAATGTAACTAGAAGTCGTGGTGCTCACCATAGCACCTTACCATTCTTGGTGTTCACAGTCAAGTAATTTAAAAAATACTTATAAAATATAGTTTAGGAAATTGGCTCTGTGAGGAATAGAACAACCACAAAGTATTAGCTTGCATATTATACCAAGCCTATGTAGTGAGACAGGGATATAGCTCAGCGGTATAAGTGCCTGCCTGGCAAACGCAAGGTCCTGAGTTCGATTCTTGGTACCAAGAAAAAAAAAATAAACAATAAAAAACAAGTCTATGTATTATTAGCTTGTGGAATTAATTTGAGGGGCAGAATTTAACATGTGAAACAGTGAGTGAGAAATAAGCTATAGTTGCTCATAAAATGAAGTGCTCCATGAGGGCTGCTCAAGAAGGGTGAAGTCATAAGAGAGGACAGGGGTGAGCTAGACCTAAGTGAATGACCCGTGAGTTAAGTGCATCCAGTGAGAGGAAAGGTCAACGTGGGTAAAATTGGAAACTGTCTGTTTTATTTCCTTCTTTCCAAATCAAAATAAGCCTGGAAAAAAAAAAAAAAAAACAGAAGCTAGACAATAACATCAGATAAAGAGCTCAGTCTATGAAATGCATAACCTTGAGGAAACAAAATCACTTTATTGGGGAAATTTAATTTTAGGCAAGAGGATCTCTTCTGATTTTGAAGAAAAGTTATAATTTTCTCTAAATCCTAGGCTCTAAGGGTTACCTATCTCTATGAATGTGTAATTACAGATCTAAATAATTAAAGCTTTTCCTTTAAGGAAAGCCCACGTATTGCCTGCTTGAACATAAAATATTTTAGCGTCTCAGATCCCCAAAAAGCAAAGTGATTAGGTAGCACAAAAATAATACCCAGATAACTAAGTATCTAGGGTATGTTGTGGCTTTTTGAATCAAGCACTTGATAATTTGTCATCAGTACTGTACAAATAAAAACTTGAGTCTTTTGTGTTTTGAACCTGTTATGTTTCTATGCAAACATGTTTTTAATCCTCCAAACTCAAGCCATTTGAACAATTTCTTAACAAGTATTGACTCAGGTGATACCACACTTCCGTTCAATTCTTTAACTCTGTGTCAGACAAAATATAAACTTAACCTTCGTATTCATATTCAAACAGAAACAGCTTATATATTAGGCACATCTAACCTAGGAAACACAAAATTTAAGAACTAAGAGAAACTGTAGAAAAGCCCTGGCATGAAAAAGTGACAAGTGTCTGACACTTACTTTTTAAGTAGCTGTTTCAACTATATTAGAATACTAAAATAAAAAATAAAGGCTGTAAATAAGAGAGAATACAAATCTTGTTTTCAAATTTACTGATAATTAACTTCATCTCAGTTTTTCAAATTATACTTCATTTTTTACCTTGGCTGTCAGGAAGCTAGGATTAAAATTTTAGTTCAGACACCATCATGATCCCATCTCTTGTGTATAGTAAAATTATTTTTTACTCGAAATAATTTACTCGTATTGCCTTGTATATGTATGCATGAACTTTTAAATAAGTTTAGATTCCTTTTTGAAGAACAGGGAACTATAATACAAGCTAAATATTTGCTCTTGGGATGACTTGATTACTTCATTCTCTCTCATATATCTTAATATATGTCCTGATTGCAAAATTTTGAAACTTTATACAAAAAAACTTGAGAGATGAAAAGAATAGGAAAAAATAGCAACTCAAAAAATACCACCAAAATATCACACTGCTCTCTCTCTAGTTAGAAGCAAATTATAAAAACATACACATACTCAGATGTAAGTTCATTATTAATACAGTACCTGCCCAGAATATATCAAGAGAGATATTTCATTAACTATAATCCATAGAAACTGGCCAAACCCTTTCCTAAGACAAAGAAGAAACTGTGCTCCATCTTTCATTAGAAAGAATTTAGGTGAATTTAAAAACAAACAAATAAAAAGAATTTAAGTGAATTAAAATCTTCACAAAGTTATCGAAAGTTGAAATACTATATGCTTCAAATAAAGGTTTATTTCTCTACCTGAAAGCTCTAAATTTTCTCTGTGAACATTTTAAATTATTTTAAGTTTAATGACTATAAAAATCTACCACAAAATCTACCTTGAACTAATATGACAATACCCTTTGTTCAAGGAAAGTTGAAAGAGATTAAAAAAGAGAAAACGAATGAAAGAAAAATAGAAAAAAGAGAGAAAAGGCAGAAAAGAGGACAAAGGCACAAATCTTTAACTTTTATTGAAGAGAATACTAGCTTATTTTCATTTTCCAAACTCATAAAATGGTGCTTGTGTGTGTGTACATGTGTATATGTGTACGTAAAGGGGAATTTGGGATACAAATAGAGTAGCTTTCTAACTAAAGAGAAGATATGTTACTGCCCAATTTACCTAACACCCTGCTGAAAAACTGAGGAATGAGAAAGGACTAAGGACTGATTCTATGATTTGGATGTGTACAGCAAGTTGACAGACCGTGCTTAAGTAACCATACTGTAAACACTCCCTGAACAGATTAGCTTATCAAAACACAGAAAAGTAGGAGGTGCACTGGTGAAGGAGCCTATGTCTGTGCCTATTTGATGATAAGCCAAACACTTGCCTTGTCTATCCTCTTCCAGTTCACTTTCAGAGTAGCCATCACCCTCATCTTTCTCACTGTCATCAGTATCTGCCGCCTTCTGTGACGAGACTGTACTCTCCTTTCCAGGGCCTAAATTATCTTTTTCATCCTCTGACGGTGACTTTGATATTCCATTCATTTGATCATCAGCCTGTCCTTCTTCATTAGCTTTCTCATCTTGTTTCTCGTCATCTACTTCAAAATCTTCTTCATACTCTGAAAAAAGAAAATCTCCACCATAAGAATGAAAATAGAATCCTTGGTACTTACCCCATTTCACTTTAATGAGAATTTGGACTCTGTTATCCTCCCTTCTCTGGTGCTTTCTTTGCCACTTCTTTTTCTTACAATTAGTGAACATGGAAACTGAGAGTAAATGATCAAAGATTGCAATCAGCTACACATATGAGAATATAAAAGAAATGAACCTCCAAATGACAAGACTGGAACCTAATAAAAGTCCATTTACAAATGGATACCATCATCTACAATGACTACAATAGAAAAAGAAGAATTTGCCACAAGACAATAAATTAGAAGCAAATTAAAAATGAAGAGAACAGGATTATAATAACGAAAGTTAATTTGGAGACCCAGTGAGGTCATATTTCATATGAAGAATGTTCAAAATATTTGGATATCAAGTTAATGAATAGTGAAGTGGAAAAATTCAATTAATCAAGTCCAAATGCCCTGAGAAGTAACACTTTGAATAGCACATTCTTTGAGACACAAATGGACATTAAAAAGGCATTATGAAGGATTCTATACCCAAGCCAGAATTCCAATCATATATATTATTCATTCCTACAATGAATGCAATAATTACATTCCAAGTAGAAAAATTCCTACAAAATAGAATATTCCTGTCACCGCTACAAATGTGCTTCATCCCTACAGGGGTGCAACAAATCTGTGGCAGGAAAAGAAAATTGTCACATCAGATAAACTCCAGCTGTCCCTTGTGGTTATAATTTTTCACCTTTCATATTTAATTGTTCCCCCTTTTCCTCCACCAAAAGCTAAAAATCTTGAAGTGACAACATGCCAAAGAGGGAAAGCAAAATTATCTCATGCAGAACCAATTAAGCAAATAAACAATTACCCATAAAATAAAAATTACAAGTAAAATAAAGGTTCCCAATTTTGTGGGTTTTAATTATTAGGTATCCTGGCTTCTCTTCCAGTGGTAGGGGGGTGGCTCTTGGGTATTGATTTGAGAGAGGTCCACCTTGCTGCAATAAAAGAAAGTTAATTTAGAAATACATGTCCTGTGCATATAATGAAAGCTCAGTTGAAGCAGAAAGCAAATGAGAAAGATATAAGAGGAACTGGGAAATCAAAACTGTAATGAGGAAGGTAAAAAAGGAGAATTCACAAAAATGTTTCCAGTAAAGAGGTTTCAATATGTGTAAGTAAAGAATGTGAGCATCAGCAAACCAAAACTGTACAACAAGCAAGAAGATGAAGAATTTGGTTCGTATTGCATGACACAAACAGGAAACACTGATACAAACAAATGAATATTTTGGCCCAAGTGTTGCTAGCCAGGCACAAGATCGTTCCCCAGTTGGTGCAGTTCCTGAGAAGCTTTTATGTGAAACAGAATAAAAAACACTACTAAAAAACACATCTGCCACCAAGGAAACTCCAGTTTTTGTTGAGGAAACAAGGTACAAGAACACAAAGAGTAGTGTGCTCTTTTTGTAGTAGTTTTCATACAAGATCCTCGGCCATGTTAGTGCTGACACTACAGCTCAATCGCTGTGGATTTTTACATGGGACTCATAATCAATTATGAGAAGTAATATCAAGTACATTAGCTCCCTCCCCTCAGCCACAGTTTTTCTTTCTGTGGTTTCAGTCACCTGTGATCAACTGCAGTATGAAAATATCACATTAAAACTCCCAGCAATTAAAACAACTCATAGGTTTTAAATAACTTTTGCTATAACATATGGCTCTACCTCTTTCATTTTAGTATTATTGTTGTTACTCTCTTACTATGCCGAATATATAAATTAAACTTTATCATAGAAAATGAAGCTATGGAAGACTTGATAAAAGGAGAAGCTGAAGTTAGTAGTAGAATATGGGCAAAAGTATTATTTTACAATATTTGCTCTGGATCACAAGATAAGTAGGGAGCTGCACAGAATGCAAAGGAATTGCTGCAGTTCTGCTGGAAGTAGAGTACTACACAGTAGTGAAAGACGGGCTTTGGAATTTGGTCAGCATGTGTCCAACACCCAGTGAAAACACTTCCTGGTTATGTGATCTTGGGAAATTCGTTGAACTTTAGGCTTCAGTTTCTTCACCCATAACCTGGTTAGCACAACAGTGTGGTTATAACAGAAAGTGCTCCCCCAACCCCAGACAGTATACTTCAGTTTCTTAGTTGCCCAGGTATTAGTTCCTGTTTGTTCTGCTTGCTTCGGGTCTCTTAGAAATGGCTGGTCACTGTGATGCATAGCTGGTCACTATGATGCACATTGTATGAACCAATCCCCAATGGAAAATCTGTTCTGCCTCTGTACCTCCTGCTTGCATATCCCATATAAGCCCTAGACCACCAGAGATCACGGCCTGATATTCTGGGAATGGTCCTGATCAGTGCCCATTGACATAAATAAATCTGCCTCCAAATCCTGGGTGTCATTTCAGTGTTTCTGCTTGCTATTGAATGGTGACATTAAAAGCAATAACCTTTAACACAGTGCTATGAACCGCAAGTGCTTAATGAATACCAGGCATTAGCTATAATGGTGGTTGTGACTGGGTAGTGGAAGGAAGTAGTCATAAAGCAGGAGAAACTACCTGCACTATGTACCCCTTTGACAGCAGTACACTTTCATAGTGGCACCTGATTAAAATCAGGCAGTACAAATGTCCACCATTAGGATACAGTTAAAGTTCTATTATTAAAATAAAGCATAAAATTGAAAGAACATGTACTGAACCACAGGGAAAATCCCTGCATCCTATTTTGAAGATGCTTCTGTGTTTCCAGTCTAAATAGAAAGTTCAAAGCTGCCTGACTTTGTCTACTCCTCCAACCAATACATCTAACTCTCAGTCTTCCAACAGCACATGCATCCCATTGTCATGGTAGCACAAGACATACGCATTGGATCGCCTACTCAAGCTTTTAGTGTGAACAAATCAGTGGCGTGCTTTCTGGCATCCTTCCATTCTGTGATTTATTCTGGCTCCACATCCCATTTCTCTTCTAGAGAATAAATTGCCTTGTTTTCCATGCTCACTCCCGAGATCCAAGTCAACACCAGTTGACATCAGTGCTACCTCCACCCTCTCCTCTAACCTTCACTCTGGCTTCTTGTAGCCTGCACACCAGTGGCTGCTCTGCAGACCGCCGAAGCCCTGGTGTTGCTGCTGTTCCTTTGCGGAGCTTTAATAGAAATGCACATGTAAGGTCCATTAGCAGCCAACACTGAAGAAAGATCTCAGAAAACGCTGTATCACATGCACAAAGAATATCCCTTGTAATGCTCATCATGGCGGTTTAAAAAAAAGAATGAAGAAAATGAAAGACTAGTCTTTAACATGGATTTAATAAGCCACTCTGTCTTAAAAGTTAAAACACAGAAAAAACACGCCCTGTGTTCATCTCTTTGCAATTTCTGTTGCTATCATTATTTTTAAATTCTGTCAAAGATAAGAAGTAACATTAGGATGGATACTGTTATGAGAGAAATCTTTTTTAAGATAGCCACATTATTTTAGAAATCAACAAACATAAAGTTCAGGGCTCTGATGTTCCTGTAATCACTCTCTCAGATTTCTAAAAACCCCTGCAGCAGTAAGAGGAGGTGGGGAAGAAGATACCTGGAAGGCCAGCTGCTCCATAGGTCACTGGGCCTGTGGGCTATCGTTCCTCAATTCAGGCTTTATCTACTGGGCAGGAGAGTGACACTTAGCCCTCTCTGATTTTTGGACACGTCACCCACCACTCTATGGACTCTGGCAACAGAATTATACAGTGTTGGAAAGCCTGAGATTCAGAAGCTCACCAACTTGGGTATGAATCCCAGTGGCTGCTTTCTCTGAGCCTCAGTTTCTCAGGCTGTAAATGGAGGGAGGATTAATACCTACCATGTCAAACGACAACAGTATACTGTATGTAAATTGTGTGTGTGTGCGTGTGTGTGTGTGTGTGTGTGTGTGTGTGTGTATAGACAGAGTGAAAGAGGAAAGAAAAAGAGAAGACAGAAAAGAAAGAAGAAAGCAAAAGAAAAATCCAGATAAGCTCCAGGATCCTAAGCCTATGTCAACTGCTTTTAGATACCAAATACTCTATCAACGTGTGTTATTGTTGATACATCCTGACTGAGTGACTCAGCAGTTCTACCTCCTAAGGTGAAAAGGACATGCCCTTCCTGCTCTATGATGTTGTTCACTGTGTCAGTTTGAGAAGTTTAGAAGGTTTACTATGTGACTCAGCAGGGAGCCAGAGTCCTCCCTTTATATTCATCCTCAGCCCATGCAAGAGAAGGGTATGGAGATGGTGTGGGTGTAGAGGACCACCCCTTCCCAGGCCAGGGAGTTTGCATACAATAAAAGGAAGATGAGGAAGGACTGATTGCTGGTTCTTCAGAGCATCTCCAGTCTTTGCCTTCAGCTTGGTCATCTCCTGGCTTGTGGTGCAGACTGGTTTCCATCTGGGACTGTTCAGCCTTCTGGTGTAGACTCTTGGGCCTTCATCCTAGACTCTTCAGCATTCCATCATAGACTCATCAGCCTCCTGATACGGACTGGCACAGACACTGCAGTGAGCGCCAGGCCTTGGACTGGGCTCTTCAATCTCTAATGTGCCAACACCCTCTGCACATCCCTCATCCAGCTCTGTGGCTGATCATTGTAAGCCAAACTTGCAATTTTTTGTACCTTCATATATCTTGTGTCATATCTGTTTCTCTGGTACACACTGACTGATACACCATGTAATCATACAGATTAGACCTGCCTAATGCCAAAGCTACTCATTAATTTCAACAAAGCAAGTACATTAAAAAGACTAAAACAATAGGCAGAATTGTATCTTGTCAAAATGATCTCTTTGGAAGTCAAAAGGATCTCTCTAGCTCACACAGATGACTCCCTGTTCCCTCTCATATCCCAGCAGCAAATGCCCTCCTCCAAGGTAGGCAACCCAGGCAGGACTCTATACAAACAGCAGGCAAAGCAGGGCAGAGATTCCTCCCACTGAACAGAGCTCTCTAAAGATCCCACTGAGTAAGAACGCATAATAGATAGTTTTGAAAACTGTTAATAACGACAGTTTAAAAACTCAAACAACAGCAGCAACATCAAAGAACACTGTTATTGATTACCAAATTTAAAAGCATTACCCTGATTCTCATCCCAAACGTCTTGTTCCAGTTTTCCTTTCAGTTCCATTTCTTCCACAGCAGTTTTCACCTCTCTGACCTCTGGTTTTATTTCTTCCACTAAAAAAGTGGCGGAGGTAGAGATTTTGTTCTCAGTCTCGGTCCCTATTGGTATCCAGTTCTCTCTAGTCTTCCTCAGCTTCTCTTCCTCCTTCCTCAGATCCTCTCTGTCCTCAGGGCTCTTTTCTTTCCTAGGCTTCAGTGGAGATGTTTTTTTATCCAGGCCCATTGCAATAATGCACCTATGGAAAAAATTAACGTAAACTATATATTAGCCTTCATACATAACACAGTACAACCTCACAGCTTTTAAAACATTTACTTCTTCTTCTAATAAGAAAGTTATAAGAAATACTATACGACTGGTACACATATTAATCAAAATGAACTATCTTGTTGATGCTAAAACATAAATGAACACAACATATTCATAATTTTACTCTAATAATAACAAAGGAAGTCATCAACCAAGAACTGTCAATTAAATTTGTGCCTGAAAGTACATTTTTGGCCTTCTGATAGTCATTTATAGATTTATGAGGTGTGGTTGAAAAATACTGCCAATATTTAAATCTTAAAATTTCATTCAGTAAAAGAAACATTGCCATCAATCACCCTCAGACACACTCATGCCATCATTCTTTCCATTCTGAAGCAGTTTACAGTTTATATATACAGCAGTGTCTGTCAAATAAAAACATTATGGTGTGACCTCATCCGCCTTAGTCTCCAGATCTGGCACTGTGTGATTTCTGGCTCTTCCCTAAAGTCCAAGTGACCATAAAAAGAAATGTTTTGAGTCAACTCAGGATATCAAGGCAGCCAGAACAGAACAACTAAAGACACTCACAAAAGAAGACTTCCAGAACTGCTTCAGAAAGTGGCCAGAATGACGGGATAAGTGTGTTTGAAGCACGGGAGAATATTTTGAGGCAAACTAATTGTAACATATCCTTTCAGTGTATTAAATTTGTTAAAGATTTGAAAATTTACTGTATTTTTTCATACCTTATACATCTATACAATAGATACATGGATAGATAGAAAGATCCATAGATAATAACGCAAGTCCTTAAATGAGAATTATATAATAAAAGAGCATTCAGGCTTAAAAACATAAAATAATCAGAAAAGAACTGACGATGGAGTTCAGTGTTAGAATGTTTGTCTGGGAAAGCCCTGGGTTTGATACCCTCTACTGAAAAAAAAAAAAAAAAAAAGAATACAGATGCCATTCAATTTGTGCTAATTTATTATTCCAACAATACAACAAAAGACTTAAATATAAGGTGGATTCTAGAAAAACATGGCTGATATTTTTAAGAAATATAAACAGTTAAACATTGTTATGCCCTTTAAGTAAATAACTCAGAAGTCTTCACACTTATTTCAATAGAACTGCTATTATTCCTTTTAGAATGGCCTTTTAAAGACTGTACTGCAATCTTTAGCCATTTTTCTGGCAATACACTTTTGTTTTTTGAAAATGGCAATAATTTGTACAAGTCATGGTGTCATTCCAAGTCAAAACTGGTGAACCAGCTAGATGATCTCAATGTATCATGACATTTAAAAAGTTTTCATCAGTTATAACAAAAGGAACGTGAATAAACTGTCTTCTATAGCTCTTATTTCTCTTGAGTTAATATCAAAATAAGAATTCCCATAGGGATAATTTAGATTTTAACATGATTATAATGGTGGATTGGTGAACACTTGCCCTATGTCATCCTCTTTGGTGAATACTGTTTATGCAGTGTCTTAAAGGATTCATTACCCCACAAACCAAAAAATTAATCACAGCCACCACCACTGCACAAAGGAGGAAGCTGAGTTTGTAAAGCTCCCATGGCTTGCTCAAGGTCACCAAGCAGGCTCGGATGGTGCTGGATGCCAGATCACCTCACACTGGAGCATAGCTCTGTTGCAGGCGTAGCCTCTGAGGTGACCAGACACACAGACAGATGTCACACTGCTGGGCTCACCACCCAAGAAAGTATTCGCACTCTCACACCAAACACTAACACAACCTGGAGAGGTCTCCACCAAGGCCTGAGACAGTCCCTGACTGGGAAAGATGCGTAGCACATTTCAATCTCCCCTTTCCTCCCTCCTTAGAGCTGCCACGACCCCTCTGTCCATGCCAGGCAACCATGGGGAGCCAAATCACTTATAACGGACAGGTGAAAAGGAATCACCGTGCCGTCTGTGCTTCTCAGTCCAAGACATAGAAATAATACTACATCCTGAAAACTACCTCGGCCTGAATCAAACCCAGTGGCAATTCCATAAACTGAAGATTTCCCTGAGTTTCAACCATCTCCAGTTTTGAAACAGCACAGGAATTGATTTTAATAAATTCTCCCAATGAGAAAATACCAGAGCTGAGTTATGTCTATCACTTAACACCTCAATATCTTCCCATAAAATAAAGCTAAAAGGATTTGCACTCAACCTACCAGGCTATAAAACACAAGATAATAAAAATCTACTCACCTCACCCATATTAAACATGATAAATATTTCCAGACAGTAATGATGAGGTGCTTAGCACGGAGATTTCTTTGGAATGAAGGTGTCACACATCTTCGCGGAACAGGATTCTCAGCCCTGCCTTCTGTTCAAGCTGCTTTCCCTTTTTTAGGGGCAACACCAAATCCATTGATTTGGAGCCTGTGATATGCTGTTACTTTTAGTTTATGTTGTGACTATGTAAAGGCTTTGATGCCTCCCTATTGCATGCACAGACTTTTTATTGCCCATCTGCTGAAGGGAATTGGACAAACAAAGTGACAAACATCTGTGCTTCTCCTCACTGACTACCTGTTTGACTTTGGAGCTTAATTTGAGGTGTTGATTCTGATTACTGAAGCTGAAAGCAGTCTGCATTCTCTTTGTTTGGGTAATTCGTTTTCCCACATTTCCCTCTGGCAAGGGAGAGTAGCAACTGTGCCTCCTCAAACAGACCCGGGATGTGTGGGAGGAGGACAGTCACAGAACCTACATATTTGGGAAATCACCACCACTCAACTTCTCTTGTTTTCTGGAGACCTTAAACAGGTAATTCCTAAACATGTTTAGAAATAAATCTCCCCAGTGTTTCATTTTATCATGCCCTCCTTTCTCATGCTGGAAAAGTTGTAGGGATCAGCATTTTTTTAATGAATTAAAATTACATTTTGAACAAACTAGAGGAATTGCTGTACACTCCCTACAATAACCGAAAGTATCATTCTGGATATAGCAAAACAAATGATGCAGGGTGTAAGTGATCCCAGTCCCCTGAATGGTAGTTCTCAGGCTCTCAACGGAATTCTTCAGTGTTGGTGGCTCTGGAATAACAGCGATAATATAGTGGAGCTGGGCCACCCAAGGCTGCCCATTTAAATCAGCCTGGTCTGACTTTGACCTGCTCTACAACAGGGGGACATCCAAAGACATCACCTTGATCATTCATAGATTTCATCAGAAGAAATGATTTTGAACCTTAAAAAAACCTCAAAACCATTCTCTTTGAAGAATGATATATTTTAATTGGGGGTGATGGGACTTATTTTTTAATATCAAAACCATTTTGATATTATTGGAAAATGGCAGAAAAACAGTAGAGAGGACCAAGTATTGAAATCAGAGGAAAAAACTGTACAGCAGAGAGGAGGTTTTGAGTAGGAGAGCAGATGTCATCAGTCAGGTTTGGGTACTGATTATTAAACCACAAAAAGTGCTCAGGGCTAAATTTTACATCTTTGATTTGTACAGCAACTCCCAAAGAATGCAATGTGTTTGCACATGGATGAGCATATATAATCTCGTAAGTTTTCCTGGGAGTCAAACAGCACTGTGTTAAATGACTTGCCCACAAATAATGAGAAAGCATACATGAATTGGAGATGAAAGGAATTCAGGGCCCTAAATACAGCTGAGCACAGATGTATGGCCCTGGGCCATTCGATCTCCCACTCTCAGGGTGACTCTTCCACACCTGTTCTCTCTCCTAAAACTTCCAACTCCTCCTCTTAAACTCAGCTGATAAATGTATTTCTTTTTTAGAAAAGAGAATTAATCATCAGAGAACTTCCAGTTGGTCCTACCACATCCACCATCTTCTCTCTCCTCTACATGGCATCCATGCACACTCCTGTTCCCATAGAAAAGCATCCTTCCTCATGCTAAGGCTTATACCTCCATGTAAGCCCCTCCTCTTTATTATACTTAAGCACTAACATCTATAGCAGTTTCCCTCTTTCTGTCACACTTTATCAGTCTTTTTTTCCTATAGGGTATCACTCTACCTATTAGTGTAAAAACATGCTGTAATAATACTCCACCATAAAAACTGAAAAGATCTTTGACCCTATATAATATTCCCTCCTAGGTTATTACCCATTAACTATTATTTAAAGCAAACCTCTTCAAAAAGTACTCTATATTTTCTGCCTTTAGTTATTTTTTTCTCCAACTATCCCTTAAACCCATTAATCAAGTGAACATCACTATGACAACTTGTCTCCAGATTACAATAACCAGCCCATCCTCAAATTACTGTTCAATCTCCGGTCATCATCCTATTTAACCTATCCACACATTTGGCCAGTCAATCAACCTTTTATTCTTTAAATATTTCATTCATTTCCAAAATATCACTCTCCCTCTAAAAACTGCCTTTCCTTCTCTGGCTGGCTTCTCCTGACTTTCCTCACCTCCAAAATGGAAATGATATGTAGCCCATTGCTCAAACGTGGTCTGTGTCTGTATTTAATTTTTAGACCATCTTATTGGACTCTAGGACTTTAAATATCATCTAAGGAGAAATCGCATGAATCCCAGACCCAAACCCTTCATCCCACCACCACCATCCACATCCGTTTCTTCCACATTCCCACACTAATTGCATGGTAACTGGGCCTCCCTTCTGCTAACCCTTCAGACAAAATAATCGCTTGAGTCGATCTTTGATTTTGTTCTTCATCTCATGCCCAACATCACCCACCAGTAAAACTTGTAGGCTTTACCTTCAAAACACATATTACATATTGAACCCAATCACTTCTAACTCCTACCTCGTCTCTTCTATGGATTGAGGCAGTTTCCTTTGCCCTACCTCTTAGTTCATTCTTTCTCATGGGAACTACTGTTGGATCATGGTCAAGGCTCCCGCGCTTCTGAGAATAAAAGTCAGAGTCAGGACCTCAGGACTTCTGTACAGGGCGGTCCCACTGCTCCTCTGACCTCATCTCCTGTCATCATTCCCTTCCTCATTTTGGCTCTTGCGGGGCGAGCTAAGACACCACAAGCGTGCTCTGCCCTCCTGTCCTCTGGATATGCTTTTCTTTCCTGGAAAAACTACTTGGAGGAAAGGACTTTTTCTTTCCGGTTTCTGTGCAGAAGACAAATCTTCTCAGAGAGGTGTTCCCTCACTACCCTGTGTAAGACAACACCCGCCCTGGGGCTTGGCTCGCTCACTCCCCATAACTCTCTTACCATTTGATTTGCATTCATTACTTTATTAGTATGTTATCTTCCCTTTCCTTGTTAGAATAAGTTCTGGAATCTCACGTACTTTAGTTGGTTCACTCTTGTGTTCTGGCTTGGCACCTAGTCAATTTTCCAGGAATACTTTCAGAAAAAAAATGACAGAAATCCTGCTGGCAAAACTCCTGATGTCAGAAAGAATGTCCCACATGAAAGCTGATGAACAACATTCAAAACTAACTTCTGTTCTGAAATGAAGGGGACGAGCATGAAAACTGAACCACGCCATGATGCAGGCACAGCTCCCATATGCGTAACCTGTGTAGTGTCCAACCACACAAGACCGGTGCTCGGCACACGGCACAGGCGTGGGCTCTAGCTCCAAATCAGTTAGACCCTTGATTAAAACAACTCCAAGACAAAACTCTGTTTCTTTCTTTCAGAGACCGAATTTAAGGATATCATGAGGAAAAGGAAAGAAACAGAGACAATTTAAAGGGCCACCATTTATTTACCTCTACTATATAACATATCTGGAAATCTGAGTTATAGTTTATAATTTTAAACACAAACACTCAGGGTAGTGAAGTGAACAGCGTTTATCCTAGATAGTCTGGGCTCGTACACACTGAGATTTCTTAACAAATTGCATGGATAAATGCATTAGTAGAAGCAGAAGAAAAATGAAAGCAAACTTGCCCTCTACCAGAGGGAGGTGTTTCCTTACTTGTAGCAAGGAGAGGCTCTCTCCACACACACGAACCCAAAGTAGCCTCGTTTGCCTCCGAGTCTGGAACCTTTCCGATGCTTGTACTCACAGCAGGAGCTCAACCTGTTCACCTGCATCCCGTTCAGATAAAAGGTGAGGCTGAAGGGAAAGCCATGGTGCCTTTTGGAAATGAACTGAAAGGTCTCTAGAATGAAAAAATAAATAAATAAATCAGTAAAAACTGTTGACTTTGGGCTAACATCTTCTACATCGCATTTTATTTTTAGACAAATACAGTATTAGGCACTAGATCATCTTCTGAAGAGAACTTCAGCATCCAAAGCCATTCTATTAGGGAACAAGGATTAAAAAAAGTATGGAAGGAAAACAATGGAAACTAAGTTTTGTAAATGCGGAGGGGAAGAAGGGTTGAAGGGAGGGGAGGGGAATGGGAAAAAAAGAATTGAGATATAGTATGCACAGGTATGAATTCTCTATGATAAATGTGATCATTATGTACAGTATGGAAAAATGTACCAATTAAAATTAATTTTAAAAACCATTCTACTATTTTTACTTGTAATAAATATGTAAGTCTTTATAAAACTCTGATTTGTAATAAAACAATGACTTCTGGCATTATATGAGCACATGTTACTTCCAGGCACTGTGCTAGATTATCTTAGGTGTCTTGTTTCTCAGCAGTCATATAAACTACAAATGTCTCTGTTGACAATTTCTAGATGAGAAAGTTAAGAATTAGAGGAGTCCAGTAATTTACTCACTATTGTACATAAGTAGGAGAGTTAGTATTAGTATTTAACATGTCATTAAATCCCATACCCCTATCTTGCTATGCTATCTATATTGACAAAGTACACAATGACAAGAAGTCGTCATGAGATTAGTATGCTTGGGCCAGGGATATAGTTCAGTGGTACAGCCCCTGCCAGGCAAGCACAAGGTCCTGGCTTTGATTCCTGGTACCAAAAAGAGGAGGAGGGGATTAGTATGCTTTTTTTACAATTTGTATTTTGTATTGACACTTTAAATATCCTAATAGATATGTGGACGAGGCCACATTCAGTTGTGTGGCTTTGAGCCTCTTTCTTTGCTTCCCCACCCACCCAAACATCCTACCAATAAATTGAGAATAATGATTGCAGTTGACAGTTTTTAATGATTCCAAATTTTTGTGAGTGACTTGGACAAAATCCTACCCGAGAGACCCTGTTTTCTACAGAATGACTTGGAATCCTGCTACCTAAGAATGCCTCTAACAAACTACTTTGCTTCTACCAATAATACAGTAAACAAGTTTCACCTCTCCACTCTGTACACATTTCTTTCTAATCTTGCACACATTGCAGTACATTAAAATATGCCTGCACCTGGAGTTTTCAAACTTTAGTGTGCACCAGGATCACCTAAAGGGCTTGTTAAAATGTTTATCACTAAGTCTCACTCCAGAGTTTCCGATGCAGCAGGTCTGGGGGAAGATTCACGAACTTGCTTATCCAACAAGAGTCCAGCAGAGCCCGATCCACTGGCCTGGGGAGCCCACTTTGAAAGTCCTAATTTACATATTTTCTCTGTTGCATGTTTGTGAAATCTACGAGAGCTGAAGAAGAACTTAACGCATCGTGGTTTCCCCGGGACCCAGAACAGTGGGAAATGAGGTCTCCCCAAGTAGTAAAAATGGTTCATTATTATAATGTATTTCACCACCATCTAGAAATGTGATAAGAATGTCGCATTATGCCCTAAAGATGTCTAAATCAGATGTAAGTCACTCTAAAGACTTAGACCTTAGTGTTTGTAATGTAAAATTAAACTAGGGAAGAATTGAAAAGCTAGTATCTGGGGACGCTAACACACAGTGGGTTGTTGAAATCCACTTGTTTAATGATAAATCGATTCCGCAAGTGGTGACTAGAAAGCAAGTTTCACTGCTTTCACTGTAGAAAGCTCAACTCCACATTCACAAAATATAACCCATTCCACTGCAGCGTGTGCCTGACAACTCCTTGAGCGCCCAGCCTGAAGAAAATGCACTCAACGAAACGCCGAGAACAGGCACAGAAAATCAACTTCTAGATGGGACTGGTCTTCCTTTGTATGTCTGTGGATCTGCAGAACACACACAGCTATCACTCCATTTTGTTCTTCACTTTTTGAAGTGTTTTAAACAAGAAGGGACACCCTCTGTCTTCACTCCTTTGGCTCTTTGTTTTGTGACGTTTCATTTTAGAGTACTGTGACATCTCTCAATCCTGACTCCATTGCTTTTCCATGGAGGATAGAAAGAATACAGACCGGAACCGGAAATCAGCAAGGTTTCGTTCATTTCCCAGGTCTTCACTTGGTAGTGTGTGCCGTGGTAAGTCATCCACATTTGTGTCATTTCAAATTCTCATCAAGGGAAGGGGTAGAGCCCCAGTCTCCCCACTTCAGAGTAGTTTTAAGGATTATATACTATATAATACTAGCAAGCAATTTATAATATTTGTAAAACATAGTTGTTCATTATTTCCTGACAATGGGTGGCACTGTTTCAGGCACTGAAGAAAAACAAAACTACTAGAAAAATATCCCGGGTTGCCTCTTCTCTGAGAAGTTATAATTCAGTGAGAAAGGTGAAATTAATGTGCTGGAGTTCTGAAGTAAGGTCACCAGATCCTCTCCCCTTGAAAATGTGTCTTTGGAATCAAAGACTTAAACTAAGCAGCGTTTAATTCATATACAACTGAACTTTAGATAAAAGCTGAGATGGCAGCGTTCTTTTTCCTGGGGTTACTCTCAGCCCTACCCCTGACTCTGTTGCATCACAGCCCTTCTAATTGGGTAGGGCAGGACACAAATAATCAGCAGTTTCCCTGTCAAGGGGGCTGACTTGATTGAGAGAAAAGATGTAAAACGCCAGGACTGTGGTATCTCCAGTAATAAGCAGCAATCTGGGAGGCAAGCTAACAAGGAAGGCCAGAGGTCTCCTGAGACTGTAGGTCTAATTAGAGCCAGCCACAGGCCGGTGGATGAATCCTAAATTTAACAGGGAGATACAAGCAATAAGGCAGCCACAGTGGCTCTCCGTACGCTCTCTGCAAATCCCAGCTCACTGGTCGTGGCAGGGATGTTCAGAGCCCACCCAACTCTTACATTCCCGGGCTGCCTGGAGCTTCACCTCTGCACAGAGGAAACAGAGAACCTGGTGGAAAATAAAAGGTGAAACAGACTTGGAAATCATCTGAACTTTGTATGTACCCCTGACACCATGGAAATCCCAAGCTACTAAGAACCTCAGATGCAGTGTTCAGAAAGAGGCTCTTCACGGAGAGAATTAACGAGGGATCAAAATGAGACCATCCTAGATTTAAATTTTACCCTAACTCCAATAACTGCTTTCCTTAGAGGAAGAGAATATCATAACTAAAATAACCTTCCATACTCTAAGATTCCTAAGTGTTACTAAGATTACTAAATAAAACTTCGACCTATTATATCATCATGTACTTTCATCTTTCTAAATGTATATGTATGTATATATATAATATCTAGAATTCATCTTCATACAATAATCAATGTTTGTTTTTAAATGCATATTTCCTCCAAAACTTTTTGTTATTACTGTATAGAATTACATCTTTGGGCTGGGGATGTAGCTCAGTCTCACAGTGCTTGCCTTGCAAGCATTAGGTCATGAGTGTGATTTCTGGTACCACCCAAAAAATAAATAAATAAAATTACATCTTTATGAAATAAAAATATTCATATACTCATAATTTTTTAGGACATTTCTAAATTTTCTATTTCTTTCTGTTCTTGTTCTTGACTAAACTATATTTTGTCTTTTTTACTTCCTTTCCTTATTACTAAGTATTTGTAATACACAAACATTCGTATGGGGGACTGGTACATACATACATTGCATCTGGATTCTTTTTCACTTTTTCTTCCTTGCTCCCTCCCACCTCCAAAAGTCCAAAAAAGAATGACCCTTCAAGTTTCTCAAAGAGCATGGCCCTGTCAACACTTCTATTTTGTTTTTTGGACCCCAAACCTGTGAGCAAATAATTTTTGTTGCTTTAAACCACAACTGGAGAACTTCATTATCTCAGCCCTAAGGAACTAATATCCCCAAAACAGCCCTGCTGGCACACTATGAAGGCCTATTAGCTCAAGATACTTAACAAATCACTTACATCATTTGATGATCACCAAACTGAAATCAGAGTCTAGCCTAAAACATACAAATAAAATTTTTTAAAACTCTGAGTAAAACTTCAGTAGCTTTATACCAGGGTGATAGGGACTGAATTTCATATATTTATTTTACATAAGTTAACAAATAAACAGCTACAAATCGTCCCTCAGAAAGAAAAAAAGAAAAAGAACAAAAACAAAACCTTCAAAAGAAAAACTTCAGAAACTACGAAAAATGCACAGATATATACAACAGAATCTCTTTATGGAAACGAGAAAAGATGGCCACAGGAGGAAGGAGGGCTAGAAAAAAGAGGCCAATGTTTTTTTCCATCAAAAAGATAAACATGGCAAATAAAAATACATGAGAAGAGACTACTCTTTACAGGAAGCGAAAATATTCAGTCATTTCATAGGTAGATATCATAGGCAGTCAGCTTTTGCTTGAAGTCTAAAATCCAACTACAAGAAACAAGATGAATTCCTTTGGGAATAGAAGATGTACTTTCTGCCTTCTTAAATAAGTTTATGGTTATTTTAATAAAAAACCAAGATTATTTAACAACTGCCACATTTTAATGAGTTTACTCTTCCGAGAATATGATAAAGGCCCTTCTCTTAAAACTGAAATCTTCTAAAAACCTATTCACATTTCACTGAATCATGCAGAGCTTTGGTTTGTCAAAAGGGCAGATTCTTTTCAGCCCAGCTAAATTGCTAAGATTGCTGAACCTCAAGAGTATGCTAAGCCACCCAAGTTTTCAATTTTGAACAATTACTTTCCTGGCAATCAAGGGCAGGCTGAGACAAAATTACGGTATGGACAAGATTCAATTATTTAAGTCTCCATTACATGCTAGTATTCAAGACTGCCCAAAGGCATAACAAAAAGTCCTAGGATGGACGAGCATGCCTCCTCCTATCAGCTTTGCTTTTGCACTCATTGCAGAGTGTACGTCCTCTACCAAAAAGTTGTTCAGCTATGACTTATTATTTTCGTCTGCATGTACCAGTTTTCCAGCAGCCAAATATATATTATAGATATATCTCGCTGAATGCAGCATAATCAAATACCCAGGACAGTTTTCACTGTGTCAGTTTCAATGGTAGATTATACCTCATTGCACTAATTCCCCTAAATTAAGAGCTGAATTGTAATCCTTTAAAAAATAAGTGCGTGCATTACAGTGCTCTCTCTGCCAAACTCATTAGGAGTTTCACACCCTCGCATTATGAAAATGCAGGGAACTCTTTGCACTGAGAGGAGCTATCCAGGGCTGCATGCACCTGGGCTGGGTCCTGACCCACCCCTGCTCTGAATGTGTGACTTCGGAGACCCACGCCAACATAGGAGTCTGCCCATTTTGCCATCTAAAAAATGGAAGCAACAAACTCTGAGATGCCTTGGCAAGATGTCACAAAGGGAATCATATTTCCGCCAAATATACAAAATTGAAAAAGGTTTCTTGCATAATTGGACATCATGTTTAACTTTTAAGTTAAAACAAGCATTCTATTGTTTAAACCAATAAAATGACTTAAGATATGTTAATTCCTAGATATGTAGTTATATTTCTAGTTTTAGGGTATAAAATATTTTTCATTAATCGTCATTCTTTTTTCATGTTTCTCTTGGTCTCCTTCCTTAATGCCTGTGTCTATGTCAAGATTTCTAAATATTACTTGTGATTACTTAAAATACTAGTACTTTCTCAATACAGTTCCTTAAGCAAGGAAATAACAAATAAAATCCTGTATACATGTTTCCTTTTATTAGTGCTCCACTGAACTAAATATGGAAGAAAATGCTAGAGGAAATATGTAAAACTTGTATTGGGTATAAAAATGATCTTTCATGCTGATCAACACAGGTTTATGATCAAATGACAGAAGAAATGTACTAAAGGGCCATGTAGCCAAATTCTGCACCAACTTGTTTAGGTGTGATTCACCCTGGAGTTTACTGGATTTGTGATTTCATTTCAACATACCCCTAAACAACAAATTGCCAATTTTTTATTGTTCTCTTAGAATAATGTATGATATAATTCACCATGGCAAGCCAAATAGTTAACTCGTAATTTGGGGGACAGCCTATTTGTGCAATATTTTAACGATCATATATCTCTATTCCCAAATTAATCTGTTATCCCGTTAAATCATTCCAAATTCCTTCTTCCACAATCTGCAAGAGTAATTGCTGCTTCAGTTTCAATCATAGAGCAGTAAATCTAGATTTACTTTTAGGCAGCTGGTTTATGAGCCCCTGGATATGCATAATTTCATAAGGTGATTGAAGTCATTTTGGTACTATATCAACAACAGTTTATCTATAATATCATCCTCAAGCAATTAGAAGAAATCCACCTTTCATGTGTACCTTTTTCAAGTAGTTTGCCTTTGTACACACACAGGTTTTCCCCGCCGCAGTGTTGCTGATAAACTCTGATTTCATCTCGAAAGTCTGGATCATCATAAGCTAGGTGCACGTTTTTCCCCAAATAGATCATTGTAATAGCTGCGTTACTGTGCACTGATGTTTTGTAAATCCTTCCTGAATCCTAGAACAGACAAAAAAAGAGTCTTATTAACTAATCACCTTCCAATTAGAGTTTTTATTGTCGTATGACATCATAATGAAAAAAGAAAGGCTAGTTTTATACAAGTAGTTTAAAAAAAATCTTTACCAAGCGTCAGTTTACATGGAGCATGAAAAGTCAAGCTCTTTACAAAATAGATGCCTCTTAGCCACTCTCACATGTATTTTGGCTTTGTACTTTTAAATGCTGGGGATTTAGAGAAATTTTATCTTTTTTTAAGTTCAGTGGACCCTTTACTTCAGAACTCAATTTGCTGGTTGTAACTCTGGTCATCAGCTGAAGGCTCAGGCTCCTCTACACAGCTTGCAAAGTCTTTCTCCTGTATGCAGGCAGATCTCGGTGTCCTCAGAGAGACACTGATCCAGGATTTCTCAATTAACCCCACACAGGAAAGGACATTTAATGTTCCTTTCAGAACTCTTTAAGTCTGTATCTGAGACCATCTGGAAGCACAAGCAGCCAGCACTGGAGTCATAACTCAAGACTTTGGTCCTAAATTAAAACTAAAATGGCAGTCATAACCCCAGTTGGTCGTATGTCAGGCCCTTCGTAACTCAAGGGTCCAATGCTTGTGTATTTGTCTTTTACACAGAGTGAAAATGTCAGTGATGCTAGGAGCAAAGTACTTTTGGCTATTTGAGCTAGTTCTTAAATAAACTTCCAAACAAATGAATTTTTTTAATGTTGACATCATTTTGTTCCAATTTGAGTCAACATTGTTCGTGGTATAGCAGTAATTTTTGAAACTGACTGGTTAGTCTTTACAATCAAACATTAACAGCATGTCCTCCCCTCGGTTTATTCTATCTGACAAGGACATGTAGAGGTGCTTTCATTCTGGGGTCATTCTGAGGATTAAGGATCACATATGTTATTTGCCTGCAATTTTCCATGTTCACAAGAAGCATATAGTTCAAAGAAAGAACAAAAACCAAAACAATATTACAGCCCGGTGCATGGCACACACCTGAAATCCCAAATTCTGGGAGGCTTGAGGATCACAAGTTCAAGCCCAGCCTGGGCAATTAAGACATTGTTGCAAAATTTTAAAAAATAATTAAGAAGTGGATGGGAATGTAAAGGCCATGAGTTCCCCAGTACCACAACATAAACAAACAAACAAAATAACCCAATATTGATAATGTGATCTTTGGGCTGGGGTATAGCTCAGTGGCACCACTGCCTTCCTGGCAAACCCAAGGTCCTGAGTTCTATTCCTGATACCAAAAAAACGAGAATCAATAATGTGATTTTTGATGTCAAAAACATCTTCCCAATAGACTTTAAAATTATCCCACGAACCTCCGTGATATTCTGTTACTGACATGGAACAGAATGTCCTGGGCAGTGTCTTCTAATGTCTATTCTGAGGTGTTTCTGTAGCAGCGGTGCTCGCCCAAACTAAGCATGTGTGTCTATTATGTGCCCCACAGGCTTCGTAGGATCCCAGACAGCTACTGATGCGACCCCACGAGATGGCAAACTTTTAACATTACTCTTAACATTAATTTTTTTTCCAATTTTTTATTTTGATTAGTACATAATGATTACATTCATTGTAGAGAATCAGTACAGGTACAGACCACATCTCAATTCTTTCCTTTTTTCCCCTTCCCCTCACTCTGCCTTTTATTTTGCCAGCCCTGGTTTCATTTATCTCTGCTCATTTATCTCTGCATAGCCCAGGTGACAACAGGGTCCTGGGGGAGGAGGCGAGTTCGCTTTACTCAGGGGGGTCCAGGCGAGCAAGTCAAAGGCTGGACACCGGTGATGTGAAGGATGGGCTGGAGGAAGGAAGGGAGAAATAGGAATGGATGAGCCGGCTTTGCGGCACTTTCAGAGGCCCACTGGAAATGCTATAGGTTTCTAGAATTGTGCACAGGCCCAGCTTTGCTTTTAATCTACTTTATTTTCTATAAATAACTTTTTTACAAAGTGAAAAATATGCAGAGACAAACTTTCAGTGGATCCACAGCAATTGTTCATGTTTGACCTTCACTGAATTATGGGTGTACGGGAAACATGCATTGAAAAAGCAGCTGCAATAACAGCAGTTTTGAAGGGAATACTAAAGTATTTCCATCCCTAAACCCAGCCCTTCTACTTCAGAGGGCTTTTTAAAAAATCCAATTCTATTTTTCTGAAACAAAAACCAGAGCAAGTAAGTGTGGTGAAGTGAAATTCTGCACACAGTAGTCTGAAAAATAAAAAGTGGGGGAGAAGTCCAAGATTTAAAATTATTGAAGCAAACTGTCTTGCCTGTGGATATACAAGAGCTTCCAAATAGAGATAATCAACAGAAATATTTCAGGAACATCAAGAGTCACGAAGGCAAATCAGCAAAGGAGGTAATGCTCTGTAGATTAGAAACATCTTCCTGAATCACAGTTGAAAGCAACACTACGATGGCAAGCCTGGCTCTTGCTTGCAAAATCATAATCCCATGGTTCTCCTTGCCCGGGGACCATGGAGCAGTGACCTGCACGCATACAGCACGCCACACCAGCAAAAGACCTAAGGCAATTCCAGCTCCCAGCTCCTGCAAACACTTAATGAAGTGACTGATTAAATAAAAGCATCCCCTTTTGGATAAGCAATACTTTCTGAAGGAGCATGGATTTAGAGGAAGCCCTCTGAGCTCCTGGGAGATAAGCACTCTATAAATACAAGGTTATAGTGGGATTAGAGCTGGGGAGATGCTTGCCTCTTGTGTGTGAAATGAGAAACTGGAGGGAGAAACTTTTCAAAATAAAATAAATGGCAGCCTTGTACCTTTTTCATTTCTTCTCATTCAATTTTTTTTTCTGCTGAAGCATATTTCTGATAGTGACATCTCTTGGGTCTACAGTTACCTTATCATTCTCTGTTTTAAAAATATTCTCCAATTATTGCCACAGAGTAAACTTTCCTAGGTTCTACCAGGTGGCTCAAGTGACAGCTCATGGTTAAATACACACTGTAGGAAACAAGCCATTGTTTCTTTCAATTGACTAAATGGCTTCTGTATTTATCATTTAACTTCCATATTCAGAATGAGCTCAGACTGATGAAACTTTGACAAGGTTTCATGGCCCTTTCTGAAAGGCCTGAAATTTCAGGCCTTGCACATAAAGGTGTAACTTTTTTCTTTCCGTCATCAGTTGCTTATGACTTCCCTTCTAGTCCTCTCCAGATTTCTGAGGCAACTGCAATGAGACAGATAAACAGCAGGCCTGAGAAGTGGTGCGCCACTCCAACATTATATATGTGCAACATTTAGCATTTGATTGATGTCCAGGCTTTTCACTGGGATCTATTATCCCCACCCAGGCCTGTCTGCGGAGCATATCCAAGAGAGCCTATAGGTGTTAACGTATCTGTTTTCACTCATAGTACTGGATGGCAACTCTTCTCTATTCACTTAACCAACCCTTGGTGTACTGAAACTAATAGAGCCTTACCTAGACTACTGTAGGACTCTTACCACAGATTTTATTATCCAGTCTGGAACACATACTTACTAATTATTATGAACAAGAAAACAATAAAGAAATTTAAAGTGTTCTTGGGATACTGGTATACATGGTGACCCTATTAATAATCATCCCACTCCAATCTGATGTCCCCCCAAATCTCCGCAATCCCAGATATAAAAGGAATCTATGATCACTAAGATCATGCGACTTTTCCTATTTAAAGTCCCTTACCAACTACCAATGTCTCTGAGCTAAGTTTCAACAGCCCTCAAATATAACATATCTTATATTCTTGGATTCTTACTATTTCTCGATGATTGCAATTTCTTGGGGTGCCTTTAAAATTCCAGCAATTCCACAGATTACAGTGCCTCAAATATGAACAACCTGTTTTGCATCTGCAAACCTCAGTTTAGCTAGATGAGTCACAAGGTCCTGCTACTTTTCTTTGCATTCCTCTCTTTTGATACCCCCAGTATCTTGCCAGTGCTGAGATGAAGTAAGGACCTGGGGACAGACATGGAACAGAAAATTCCACATTTGGTCTTTGGGTGATTCAAAAGCTGCAGTGGATTGACTCTACCCTAACTCCCAAGTTTTCTATATTGAAGGGAAGTCAGTAGTGATCAGAACAGGAAAACTGCTTCACAGTGTCCTAGTAAAGCAAACACCACCTTCAGTGGCAAGTCCTTTGAAAAGATTGATACCAAAACCTGGCCATAGAAAGGCAGTTCCCATACTAACACTACTGGCCTGAGACAGAGGGAACTCTGCCACAAGGTGGAGGAAAAGCATTCCATCCCCAAGCCTCAGGAAGCAGCCAGTTGAAATGGACACCTTTCTCCTCTCTCCACTCACTGGCTATTGGTCTCGCTCCCTCTCCTGCCCACTTTTCTTAATAACCATCCCACCTGCTTACTTCTGACGTGCCAGAAATGGCCCAACCCTTCTGGAGGCGGCAGAACTCCAGATTTTGAGATTTCCAGTTGACACATGAGGCACTCCTTCCTCGCTGGCTCTTATTTTGGGTGAGCAGGCTGAGAATCTGACCCACCTAGTGAAGGATCTACCCTGAATCCACCCACTGCAAGGATCTCAGAAGTATCCTTGGTCACTCTTTTTTACCAAGACATTTTTCCAAAATGCCTGGTACTACTAAGTGTTCCACTGATTAGTTGACTTTTTAATTGCTTTTCGAGTCTGAGTTAGCTGTGTAGCCACCAAACTTCTATGCTAATTTTAAGCAAAAACACTGATTAAAGGAAAATGTCTGAAATAAAGCCAGCCTATTATAAGATATTTTGAATTATCACACATTAAAACCATGCTGTTTTCCTTTTGGTTCTCAAGTCTAGGTCCACTGGCAAAAAAAGAAAAAGTGTGGAAATACCAAGATAATGAACTGACTATAATGGAGATGGAAAGATTTTTATTATGCAATTTTTCTAGCAAAGCTAATATGTGTTAGTCTTTATTTGATGTCGGGAGAAAAGGATCTATATAGGA